GCTACACCTCTTCCGCTCCTCAGTAGGAAGCGTTGATTCCAGCAGCTCTGTGGGGTTGCTTTAGGGGACATGAATTCTTGTAACCCATTAAAATGTTTCTTTCTCCTTTAACAATAGCAGACGGTTTTGGTGGATTCAGTGGCCTAAGTTGGTACCTATGGTCTTTTAGAATTTGAAGAGCTTTGCTCCAGGTTCTTTCTGCTTTTCAAGTTTCCACTGGAAAAAAATCAGCTGTGATTCTAAAGGGTTTGTTTCTTTTATACATGCCTTGTGATTTTTCTCTTCAACTCTCAGTATCCTCTCTTGTGTATATTTAGTGTTTTAACAATGATATGAATGGAGAATGATTTTTGTCCTGGTTCTTTGATGTTCTGTGTGCCTTTTGTGACTCTATAGGTATGCCTCTAGTTTTGGAAGATCTTCTATAATCCATTTGAAGATCTGGACAATGCCATTGACTTGGGATTTTTCTCCTTCGTCTATGTCTGTAATTCAAGGATTTGATAATTTTCACATTCCATGAATGTTCCTTCTGTGTGTTTTAATTTTCTTGTATTCTTTGCTTCTGTGGTCCCTACTTTACCTTCAAGCTCTGAGAGTTTGCTTCTCTCCCACTCTACTGGATTCATTCTACTCTACTTGGAAGGGTTTGCCTGCGTTTTCTAACCAGGAGTCCGAGTCATCGTGATAAACACTGTTGTGATAAACACTGACCAAGCCAATTTGAGCAAGGAAGGTAATGACTTGGCTTACACTTCTGTATCAAATTCATCACTGAGGAAAGTCAGGCAGAAACTAGAACAGAAACCTTGGAGGGATGCTTCTTACTGGTTTGCATAGCTTGCTTCCTTATATGACCTGCATAGGGGGTGACACCACCCATAGTGGGCTGGGCCCTCCCACATCAATCATTAATCAAGAAAATACTCCACACACTAGCCTTCAGGCCAATTTTATGGAGACATTTTTCCTCAATTGCGGAAACTCCCTTTTCCCAAACTAACCAGCACATTGGGATACTGAGTTCTTCAATTCCATCTTCATTTCAGGAAGAATTCTCTTCAATATTTCTATCTTTCCTGAATTCAAATTTCAAATTCTGAACTCTCACTGTTTCATTCAACTGTATATTTGTGTCTTCAGCATTTGTTTCCTTAAGTTCATTGAGCTGTTTATGCCTTCTTCAAATGACTTGAATCCTTGGATGATGAAGTTTAGGATTCTTTACAATTCTGCACCCTGTAGGCTTCATCTAGTTAATTCTCATTGTAGACCATTTCTATAGGATGGATTTCTATAGGACTGATTTTGGAGAGAAGAGCTGTACTCTCTTGGCCTTTCATACCGTTTGTGTTTTTGCAATGAGACCTAGGCAGGTGGATTTCTTTTATTAGTTATGTGTCTCCTGAGTGGAAGTTTGGCTTTGTTTTTGTTGTCCACGTTTGGTCAATTTTGAAACAATTATAAAGAGTTGTTAGGTCAATCCTTCAGATACTCCATGTTCATTCTGGATTGGAGGAACATGGTGATTCCAATTCAGTGGTGACCAAGAAAGTATGAGAATGGGACAAATGCCCTGATCTGCTTGGGCTGGTGAGCTGTGCCACCTAGGATACACCCGAGAGTATGTGGATGGTGTGAGTGAACCATGGTCTCAGGCACTCACAAGCCTAGGCCAGCATAAAGGCTGTGTGACTAGGGCTATGCCTGAGGGTTGGGGATGTCTAGGGTGGGTAGGATTCTAGTGACTCTTCAGGCTATGCCAGTACACAAATGTGAGACCCAGGTTAGGCGTGGATGTTGGATATGGTGAGTGTAGGCTAGAGTCAGGCTGACTCACTAGGCTGGGATGGAATACAGGATGGCTTACATTCTTTAGGGAAATAAAAACAAGAATTCAACTGAAAATGTAGCTGTTCAACTGTGACTGCTACTACTTGGTGAGTTCTGGTTTCTGATCTAGCTCAGGCCAAATAAATCTTTTGCATTATTTGGGAGCATTGGAACCCTCTACAAATTTGTATTGTAATCCACCTCCTCCTTTAGATTCATTGGTTGTTACATTTTAACTCTATATGTATTTATAGTTAGTACAACTTTGTTCAGCTGATCTCTTGTCATTGAGTAAAGATCAGTCTTTGTCTTTTCCAAATTAAAGAAGATTTTAGTTGTTATGGTGTGGTGGTTTGAAAGAGAATGGCCCCCATAGGCTCATGTGTTTGAATACTTGATCACCAGTTGTTATAACTGTTGGGGGAAGATTTGAGGGAGCTGGCCTTATTGGAGGAGGTGTGTCACTGGGGGGTTGGCTTTGAGGTTTCAAAAGAGTTGTGTCATTACTATTGTGCCTTCTCTCTGTCTTCTTCTTGTTGATCAATATGTGAAGAGACACCATGACCAAGGCAACTCGTATAAAGAACAACATTTAATTGGGGCTGGCTTACAGGTTCAGAGGTTCAGTCCATTATCATCAAGGCAAGAACATGGCAGCATCCAAGCAGGCATGGCGCTATAGTGGCTGAGAGTTCTACATCTTGTTCCAAAGGCAAACAGGAGAAGACCAGCATCCTCAGACACCTAGGAGGAAGCTTTCAAAGCCCACCCCCACAGTGACACATTTCCTCCAACAAGGCCACACCCCCAAATAGTTCCACTCCCTGGGTCAAGCATGTTCAAACCACCACACCATGTAAATGCTTTCTTTTATAAGTTGCCTTGGTTATGGTGTTTTGTCCCGACAATAGAAAAGTAAGAAGACTTGGTAGTACATATGCTGTCTGTTCTATTTTCTTTCTGTGGAATTTTTTTTTTTGAGAGATATTCACTATGTACTCCTGATTGGCCTGTAACTCACCACATAGCTCAGGCTATTGGTGATTTTCCTGCCTCTTCCTCTCAAGCGCTGTGATTGTAGGATGTGTTTCTTCACACCCAGTTGTATTGAATCTTTTTCTAATCCTTCTATTTCAGCTGTGGAAAACTTTACATGTAAAGTGTTATTTGGGCTACATCATGTCAGGTCTTCAAGTTTTTAAACTTCATTTACTTTCAAGGTGATTCTTGACAAGAGAGGGTGGTATTGTTCTTGCCTCTTATTGAGATTCTTTGTCTCTCTTGGTTTTCCTCTGTGGTCATGCTTTTCTATGGTAGAGTGTTTGGTCCTTGGCTGTTTTCTTACTTTATTTTTCAGCGAATCTATTACAGTTTTGACTTGTGGTTACTATGAGGCTTGCAGAAAACATCTTATGGTTAAAACATACTGCTTTAGGCTGGTCAATGTTATTGCTGAAAAATCTCTATAACGTCATACATTTTTAACACTTTTTAACACTTGACGTCACAATTTACTTTTTAAAATTTTTTTATATTTTATTTTAACTTACATGTTTTTATATTTTGCTTCTTTTACCAAAAAAAGGAGTATAGGTTCTATTGTATCAATATTCTTTTATCTATTTTCATGATTCCTTCATTTTTAGGATTTCTGTATTTCACCCTCTGGGTTCATTAGTTTTTTGTTAACCTGACACAAGGTTATGTCATTCAGAAAAGACAGAACCTCAGTTGAGAAAATGAGTCCCTACTACATTTGTTCTGTAGGTAAACCTATAGGGCATTTCCTTGATTAGTGATTGATGTAGGGGAACCCAGACCATTGTGTTCCCGGGTGGTATAAAATCTAAGCTGAGTATGGCAAGGAGAGTGAGCTAGTAAGCTGTGTTCTCCATGGGTTCTGCATTGGTTGCTGACTCAAGGTTCTGGTCTTGATTGGGTTCCTGCCTTGGTTTCCCTCAGTGATAAACTATGACTGGGACATGTAATCCAATTAACACTTTCCTCACTGAGCTGCTTTTTGTGTTCTATTTATCATAACAGTGGGAATACACTAATATAATACACCCTCTAGTTTACCAGGGGTTGTAGGATCTCAGGCAGATGCATGCTAGGAGATGCCTTTGTAAGCCAAGAAGCAGGGATTTACATGACATTTTCTTTAAAGGGTTAAAAGTTAATCTTACATAAGCCTTGTAGTGTTGAGTGATAAGGGCCCCCTTACACTCATATATTTAAATGTGTGGCTCCTGGTTGGTAGAACTATTTGGGAAGGATTAGGAGGCGTGGTCTTGTTGAAGGAGGTGTGTCACTAGGGGTAGGCTTTGAAGTTTCAAAAGCCCATGCCACCCAGTTAGCTCTATCACTCTCTGCCTGCCTGCCTGCTGCCTGCCTGCCTGTCTTCCTGCTGCCTGCCTGCCTGCCTACTGCCTGCCTGCTGCCTGCTGCCTGCTGCCTGCTGCCTGCTGCCTGCTGCCTGCTGCCTGCTGCCTGCTGCCTGCTGCCTGCTGCCTGCTGCCTGCTGCCTGCTGCCTGCTGCCTG